AAAAAAAAAAAAAAAAAAAAAAAAAAAAAATGACCTTGCACTTCTGATCCTCCTGCCTCTGCTTCCCCATGTGCTGGCATTGTAGGCATGCATCAACATAACCACTTGATATAGTACTGGAATTTGAACCCAGGGCTTCATGCATACTGGGCAAGCACTCCAACTGAGCTACATCCCTGGTCCAACTTTTTTACTGTTTTAATGCTGTAGGGTAGTGTCAGTAAGAGGATCTCAATAGTATATCACTAGGAAGAATTGTTGGAGAAGTAACAAAATTGCTTTCCTCATTTTTAGGTGTGTGGTTTTTAATAACAGAGGAGTGGCAGGAGAGAATCTCTTGGTAAGTAAATTTAAACAACAAGCCTCAATTTGAAAAAGAATCATTTCCTGTTTTATAATGAAAAGCATATTATTTTTATTGAAACTAATTTTGCAGCTAATATAAGATCATAGTAGGAAAACCTCTCCAACCCAAATTAGTATACTTTATAATTTTTTATTTGCTTATGTGTATGTGTTAGTATCAGATACCCTGGAGCTAGAATTATACACAGTTGTGAGCCATTTCATGAGTTCTGGGAACTGAACTTGGGTCCTCTGGGAGAACAGGAAGTTCTCTCAACCACTGAGCCATCTCTCCAGCCACCAACATTCTATTTTATAACAACTTTTATATTCACTATATTCTAACACCAGTAGATATTAATGTATATCTTTTGTTTTGTTTTGTTTTGGTTGGTTGTGGGTTTTTTTTGGGGGGGGAGGTTTGAGACAGGGTTTCTCTGTAGAGTCCTGGCTGTCCTGGAACTCACTCTGTAGACCAAGTTGGCCTCAAACTCAGAGATCCATCTGCCTCCACCTCATGAGTGCTGGGATTAAAGGTGTGCACCACTACAATCCAGCTGTGTCTATCTTTTTAATGCAAAATATATTTTCTTTACAAATTAACCAATATAGTCTGGAGATAAAGCTAAGTGGTTAGAGTTCTTACCTAGCATATGTGAAGTCCTAGGTCAATCCCAGTACTGCATTGGGGGTGGGATCTTACTGTTCTGTTGGCTGTGAAGAGACACCATGACCAGGACAACTTATAAAAGAAAGCATTTAATTGGGGCCTGCTAACTGTTTCATAGGGTGAGTACATGACCATCATGGTAAGGAGCATGGCAGCAGGCAGACAGCAGTAGCTCTGAGAGCTTCTGATCCAAAGGCAGCAGACAGAGAAAGCAAGACTGGGCCTGATGTGAAGCCCACCCCTGGTGACACACCTCCTCCAACAAGGCCACACCTTCAAATCCTTCCCAAAACAGTTCCACCACCTAGGAACCAAGCATTCCAACATATGAGTCAATGGGGGCCATTATCAGTCAAATCACCCCAAACAACAAAAACAGTATACTGATACTTGTTTTTCTGTCATGAAAAGAGACAGTGGTAGGCAGTGGTAGTACATGACTTTAATCCCCATACTAGGGAGAGAGAGGCAGGTGGATCTCTGTGAGTTCAAAGCCAGCCTGGTCTACAGAGTTAGGTTCCAGGACAGCCAGTGCTACGTGAAACCTTGTCTCAAAAAACAAAACAAAACAAAATACAAAAAAGGAAAGAGATTTAGTTTTGTCATGACACAGATAGGCTATATTCTGTCTGCATATTTGACAGGCAGGCTTTACAAAGAAGTAACATTATTAACATTTTAAATTTAAATCATGACCTCTAACTCCTAGTTAGTCTTTACTAGGATAGGAGTTCTTCCATATCACGGCTGCATTTGATAATTAAATCTGTAACTTGAATCAGGCATGGTGATGTTCAGCATCTTTCTTCCCAGCTACTTGGGAGGCCAAGTAAGAGGATCACTTGAGCTCAGGAATTCAAGGCCAACTTGGGCAACACAGTGAGGCCTCAACCTCAGAAAAACAACCAAAAACAAAACAAAAACGTGTGAGCCATGTTGTAAGATATTACATGTACTGCAAGAGTTAATCTTGACTGCCAACTTGATCTAATGGAAAAGTGCCTATGAAATTAGTAACACACACTTCTAACTGTAGGACAGTTCTAGAGAAAATTAACTAAGGGTGAAAGACCTACTCGGAATATAGGTCCATTCCATAAGCTGTGGGGAAAGGGAGAAAGTCAGTCAGTCTGGACTTCTCTCTCTCTCTCTCTTTATCTTTCCCTCACCCCCTCCTATTCCTTCCCACTATCCTTCCTGGCCACCATGATAGAATCTGCCATCCCCACTTCCATGATGAATTGAAACCACTGAATCGTTCATCCTTTAAGTTGTTTTCTTAGATGGTCTGTCAGTATAATGAAACAAATTTAATACAGAAGTTTGGTACCAGGAGTGTGGTGGCTGCTGCAACAAAACCTTCCTGTTGGGCTTTTAAGCCTTGGACTTGGTTTTCAGGAGAAATTTGAAAGCTTGGCTATCTGGTCTAGAAAGCTTAGGATGGTGCAATCTCAGTATCAGTGGGCGATTCTGGTAGGAGCTCAAATGACTCGAGTGCTGATAGAAATGTGGACAGGCAGACTCTGACTGGGATTTCAGATGGAAACAAGGACTCTGTTGGAAACTGTGTTATGTTCTGGCAATGAACTTAGTCTGTGTCTTGAGATTTTAAAGAAGGCAGCCAAATATTCGGGACATGACATGGTTATTGCTAACTGCGTTTGGGGTGGGGAGGGTTGTTTCTAGACAGGGTTTCTCTGTATAACAACCATGGATGTCCTGGAACTCACTCTGTAGACTAGACTGGCCTCAAACTCACAAAGATCTGCTTGCCTCTGCCTCCCGAGTGCTGGGGTTAAAGGCATACACCACTGCCCAGCTGCTAGCTCCATTTTTTTTTTATGAGACTTGGGGGAAAACAAGCAGAGGAGAAAGACACCCTCCCCCCTAAAAGTGAAGTTTGGTTAGAAAAACCAGTGTGAAGTTGAGAGTGAAGAAGGCGCGGCTTCTGAAGAGACCAGTGCCGTTAAAGAAGCCAGTCACTCTGCACTGGAACCCTAGCGTAGATGCCCTCATGGCATGCTTGGACCTGCCCTGACTCCACCCATGGCAAGCTCAAAGATATGACAAAGTAAACTCTTTGAAATATTTTATCTTAAGAAGAGAATACTTGGCCAGGTAGTGGTGGTGCATACCTTTAATCCCAGCACTCAGGAGGCAGAGGCAGGAGGATCTCTGTGAGTTTGAAGCAAGCCTGGTCTACAGAGAGAGTTCCAGGGCAGCCAGGGCTACACAGAGAAACACTGTCTTGAAAAAAAAAAACCAAAATAACCAAAAAAGAAAGAAAAATACATAAAAGGAGGAGGAGGAGGGAATACTTCTAGGGTTCTGGTTCTCATCGGGCTTCCTAGGAGGCTGTTTCCCCAGGCTCTACTTTGCCATGCTCAAGTACTCATGGACTGATGCAGTTGTGGTCCACGGTAATCTTTGAGATGTTAGCAGACTTGGAGGTTCATGTGATGCTGATCACAGGCACACAAGATTGCAAGAGTTTTATTTTTAACTTCCAGGATAAAACTTCTTAGATTCCAAAGCAATATTGTTGTGTGTGGTGAGGAGCAGACAGTGTGTGACAGGGTAGTGGTCTCTGCAGAAAGTCCTTGAGAGGGTGACACATGACACTGGGAGATTAGAGACTGAATGCGTGATGAGATGCCAGGACTTGGAAACGTGAGGAATATGGAAAGCTGCAGGTGGAAAATGAAGCCAGATCAAGACACAGGCTGTGGGCTGCGAATGCCATGGACATGGGGTAAGGGCCCAAGCTTGTCTGAGCTCATCATTCCATCATCACATGCTCTGGACCAGGCAGGAAGCATGCAAGATTTAGCACTTTCCCTGCCATGTTTTATTCTTGCGGTGGTCCAGTCCTTCCTTGCCGTTTTCTATTCCTTTTAGAATGATAATGTCTACCATTATCATTCTCTCAGGAGTATACAACTTTCTTCATGATTTTTAGGGACTCAGAGACAAAAGTTTGTCTTGACAAACAGTATTGGAACGGCTAAGAGTGTGGGAGCTTAGAGAGATGGACATGAGCTTTGCTAGGCCAAAATTGGAATGTCTTAAGTGGCAGTGCATTTGGTTGCCAGGGTGACAAGGAGTGGTTGGTTTGAGAGTACCTGTGGAAGCTGAATGTAGTGATGCACACTTAGAAACCCGGGATTCAGGAGACTGAGGGAGGAAGACTGCTGAGAACTTGAAACATGACCATGGCCACGCCATGACCAAAAGCACCTTGGGGAGGAAAGGATTGGCTTACACTTCCCAGAAGATTTCACCTCAGTGATGCTGGTCTCTTCTTAATCACCTCGAATTTCTCAGCTCCAGCCAACCAGCATAGAGTATCCCAGCAAAGCAAAGGTTTCACTTTAGTAGTTCTGGTATCTTGTTAATCACAGCTGATTCTTCAGCCCCAGCTAACCAGAACCACAGAATCTTAATTAAAAAATAACAAATGCCCCTGATAGAGTCTTTAAACATCCCTTCTGAAACTTCACAAGCCCTCAGCAGTCTCTACCTTCCAAGCTCCTACAGAACAGTTCACCAAGCATTGAACACTCAATGGCTTTTTTTGCATAAAATTCCAAATTCCTTTCACACTCCTCCGCAAAAAAACATGGTCAGGTCTGTCACAGCAATGCCTCACAATGTGTTACTATATAAATTATAATACTTTTTAAGTATTTATAACTATATTTTAGACAATAAAATAGTGTGTTCCAAAGGATGTACTTCTGGTTGCAGGTTAGTCGTCCAACATCTTGAGAATTACTTGAGTAAGATCACAAAGCAAGATGCCAGTATTGATGATGGGGTCTACCTCTGGCATTTAGAGCCCTTGGTGTTCCTTCTTTCCATCACAGAGCCGTGAATGGTTTCTGTTTCAAGTGTGAAGGAAGTTTTGTGTTTATTTATACTTCTCCTTGCTTCAGAAAGGATTTTAGTGCAGCTGAGCCGCAGAGTAAGAAAGACCTTAGGTAGGCATAAAAAAAGAACAAAAGATGAGTCAGCAAAGATCAAACTGGAAGGAACTGTCTCTAACTGAAATTACCCCAGAAAAACTGGCAACAGTGAAATGGCGTTCAGGTAAGCAGTTTTCCTAGGATAGGAAAAAGTTGTAGAAGTCAAGGCCTTTCTAGAAGAGGTCAGAGCTACACTTGGGATGCACAGGGATTGCTATAGCCTCTGCAGAGGGTCAGGAGGTAGATGTTTCCACCATATTGTCCTCCTTTCTTCTCAGTCTGCAGGGATGAGGAAAAGCCAAGGCCTTCCTCTGAGGAAGTGAGAACCCACTCAGCCTTGCTGAGGCTGCTCAGTGCTTCCCTGCAGGGAAGACAGGGATCTAAGAGTCCACGCTGCCCACAAACTCTGTATTGTTACCGATCACTTCCTAAATTAACCTTGGGAATGATAACTCCCCAACCTAATTTTTTTAATTAAAAACAAAACAAAAAAACAAGAGCTAGAAGGAAGCTTCTAGAAAGGATTTGGCCTGAGGGAGAAGAAGTTGCAGAGGACAGTGCAGCTGGTCATGATTGAGCTGTCAGATGTGCTCCTCAGGCACTTCACACGCACACTGTTCTGCTCACACTGTTCTGTTCACGCTGTTCTGCTCTCACTGCTTTGCTCATGCTGTTCAGCACAGTTCATGAATCTAGAAGCCTTACCAGTTTGGCCTGAAGGCAAATCATGGGGCATTTTCTTGATATCTTTTTCTTTTTCTTCTTTTTTTGGTAATTTTTTTTTACTGAAAATAGATTCCTCTCTCATACAATACATCCCAAACAAAGTTTCCCCTCCCTCCACTTCTCCCAGCTCCCCGCTAACAACTCCTGTCCCCCAAGTCCACTCCCCCTCAGTTTCCTTTTCAGAAAAGAGCAGGCCTCCAAAAGACAACAGCCAAACAGGACAAAACAATATACAGTAAGACAAGGCAAAGGCCCTCATATCGAGGCTGGACAAGGCAACCCACTAGGAGAAAAAGAGTTCCAAAAGCAGGCCAAAGAGCCAGAGACACACTGGCTCCCACTGTTGGGAGTCCCACAAAAACACCTAGCTAGCAGCCATAACATACGCAGAGGACCTAGTGCAGACCCAGGCAAGCCCCATGATTGCCGTTTCTTTGAGCCCATGTGAGCTCTGCCTAGTTGATTCCATGGGCCATGTTCTGGTGTCCTCCATCCCCTCTGATTCCTACAGTTTTTCCTCACCCTTCCCGAAGGGGTTCTGTCTACATAATGTCTGGGTGTGGGTCTCTGCATCTGTTTGCATCTGCTGCTGGAGGAAGCCTCTCTAATGATGGCTGGACAAGGCATTGATCTGTGAGTATAGATTAGGAATCATTTCATTGATTTTTTTTTTTTAGGAGAGTCTATTACTGGGTGGCACCATCCCTAGGCAAGTAAACCTGAGCTGTATAAGAAAGACAACTGAACATGAGCCAGGGCACAGCATTCTTTCATAGGTTCTACTTTACTCAGTTCTTGCTTGAGTTCCTGCCCTGATTTCCTTAGGTGATTGTAGTTGAAAGTTTCCCTGTGTCCCGGCTGGCCAGCGGTCCAGACAACTCTCTCCCACTCACGTCCCCCAAGTAAACACCCAGAGGCTTATATTAATTACGAATTGCATGACCATGGCCTATGGCTCAATTTTCTTGCTAGCTAGCTCTTATAACTAAACTCAGCCCATTTCTATTGATCTATATGTCACCACATGTTCTGTGGCTTACCGGTCTGTTGGCATTGTTTCTTGGGCGGCAGGCTGGTGTCTCCCTGCCTCTCCTTTCTCTTCCTGTCTGTCTGCTTGAATTTCCACCTGCCTCTAAGCTGCCTTGCCATAGGCCAGTACATTTTTATTTATCAACCAATCAGAGCAACACATATTCACAGCATACAGAAAGATATCCCACAGCAGGTGATGGACTAGAATCTGGAAGGATAAGTTGAAATAAACCCTTTCCTACTCAGAAAGAAAGAAAGAGAAAGACAGACTTAAATGATTGAGTGGTTTTAGAAATGATAATAGCTTAGCTCCTGTTTGATGAGTGTTTAGCATGAGCCCATGAGCCTGTAAAGCCCAGGACACTTAGGACAACCCTCAGACCACAGGGAGCCCCGGACATGGACCCAGCACCAGCCAGAGTTGCTTCTCTCAGCACTCAGCATGGACCTCCTCGTTGTCACTGCAGGCTCCTTCCACTCTCGGTCCAGCTCTCACTCTGCTTTTTCCCTCTTAAAGCAGTAGTCCCTAACCCTGGCTGCACAACTGGGATCCTCTAAGGTTGAGACACTCTGACCATGAACTCCATCTCTCTTTCATTGAGTGTCACATGTAGTCTTCCCAGCCCAGCCTCATTCATGTAGTCCAAAGCCCAGCCATGGAGAACTTGAGATGTGCCTCTTAGGGTTCTGCACTGGGAAGATCTGGCTGGCTAACCTGCTCTAAAGCATGCCCAGAATCACGGGTGCCCTGTGCCTTATGCAGACAACTACAGGAGCATGCACTATTCCCATCTGGGGCCATGACAGGAGGGCATACAGGTCACCCTGGTCTCCAGGGGGCTGATGGGGCTATTTCCTGGGGCTTTTTTATCTCATGGTTATCTCAAGAGATCACACTGTAGAGATGGATTGAAGAACACAATTAGTCCTGTTATAAGAATTACTCCTTTTGGTAGGCATAGCCACACAAGAATCAGAGTTGCCTTAAATAGAATCATTAAATAATTGCATACAGATCACTAGGCCTTGAGTGAGGAACTGTAAAATTAAATATTCTAAGTTCCAGACAGAAAACTGAAGTCTTAGGTGGCCTGATTCAGTATTGGAAGATACACTGCACAGCTGGAACTAAATGGATACAGTATCATAATAGAAGATATTTAATGAGACAGACTTTATGTTGCATTGTCTAGATAAAGGCGGTGTTTAGAAACCTCACTTCTTCATCGGGTGGACAGCGCTCAGGGTGGAGGAAACAATTCCCTGGTGAGAAACTAGTGGCAGTTTAGCGCCCTCCCCCAGACAGGGTCTCGCTATGTAGCCCAGGCTGGCCTGGAACTCACAGAGAGCCACTAAATGTGCCTCCTACACGCTAGGATTAAAGACATGTGCCCCCACGCCCAGCATGCCCTGGAATTTAACCTTCTATGGCATTATTAGAAAATCTTGTTTGCTTGCTTGGCTTTTTTTTTAAATGAAGAATTATTTTGCCTTTTAGGGAGCATACATGATTTTTCTATATAATGCACTTCCCTGTATTTTCTCACACATCTGCGTGTTTGCGCCTGTTTTAACTGAAGGTGTTTACATGGGCCTGGTCCCATTATACCAAGCTTTCCTTGCACATTCAAGGTCTTTTTCTTAGTGCTACCAGATCATGTTGATTGTAAGTTAGAAGATATTATATGTAATAATAATATATTATTAATAATATGTATAAACCAAGATTATTTTTGTTGTTGTTGTTGTTATTGCTATTTTTGTTTTTTTGAGACAGGGTTTCTCTCTGTAACCCTAGCTGTCCTGGAACTCACTCTGTAGACCAGGCTGGCCTCAAACTCAGAGATTTGCCTGCCTCTGCCTCCCAAGTGCTGGGATTAAAGGTCTGTGGCACCACCACTGCCGCTGCAGGCACCACCCACCCCCACCCCTCAAAAGGTTATTTTTTATATTTATGACTTCTTGCTTGTTTGGGTTTTTTGTTTTGTTTTTTTGTTTTTGTTTGTTTGTTTTTTCGAGACAGGGTTTCTCTGTGTAGCCTTGAAGCCTTTCCTGGATCTCACTCTGTAGACCAGGCTGGCCTCGAACTCACAGAGATCCTCCTGCCTCTGCCTACTGAGTGCTGGGATTAAAGGTGTGCGCCACCACTGCCTGGCCTTGCTTGTTTTTTTTTTTTTTAAACTAAACATTTCTACTCTACAAATCATTCCCCTCACATTTTAACAATAATGCGCTCTTGTCCAGACACCACGGACCTACTGCTGTGCCAACACTGAAGACTTGGAGACGGTCATCCAGCATGTCCACAGCCTGTACCCTTTGGCCCCGTTTTTGGCAGCAGGCGTGTCAATGGGAGGGTAAGGACTTCTTCTCTTCTGCGCGTGGAGAGGGGAGCCGTCCTCCCTCCCCCCCCCCCTCGACTACAGGCAAAGGGAACAGTCCTCACAGCTCTCTCTAGGAGGACTACAAACTCCTCGACACTTGACTCTGAATGTTTGAGTCTCTCACTTGCGGCTGAAGGAAGGCAGGAAGGAATCAGCTCAGACAAAGTTCAGTATTTTCCTGGCTTCTGTAATGCAAAGGGTCCAGTGAGTCCTTTTGGAGAGCAATCAAATAAACTTCATTTTGTTAATGTCCCACTCCAGATGCTGTTAAGCTAAGATGGCTTATGCACTTACCCTTCCATTGGGGTTTATTTGGAGCTTTTTGAAGATTTATTTATGTATTTTGTGTTTGTCTGTGTATGTATATGCCCATGCTGAGCATGGAGTGCCTGAGAAGGCCAGAAGATGGTATTGGACCCCTGCAGCTGGAGTCACAAGTGTTTGTGAGCAGCTTGCTATGAGTGCTGGAGGCTGAACTCAGGCCCTCTGGGGAGACAGCAAGAGCTTCACGGTGGAGCTTCACGGTGGAGCATCTCCAGTCCCTTTGAGTGATATCTGACACTAATAACTAGTGTGTGTGTGTGTGTGTGTGTGTGTGTGTGTGTGTGTGTGTGTGGGGGTGATAGAGAGAAAAAAGAAACTTAAAGAAATCTAAAAGTTATCTAGTATTTTCCTAGACTTTAGACCCCCTAACCATTGTCAACACTTATTTTTTAATTTAATTAATTAATTTTTATGGTGCTGGGGATTGAAGCTAGGACCAATGCATGTCAGCAGACACTTACCACTGAGCCCTGTACCTCTACCCCAAGCTATTGTATTTCATTTTTCTAAAGTTTTCTACTAAAAAATTCTCTTTTGCAAATTGTTGTTTTTCCTATCTGCAGAATAAATTATCAAAAAAGTAGACATATATATATATATATATATATATATATATATATATATATATAAAACTAGAGACATCTTCCCCTACCAAGCCCTATAAGATTAATACCAATTAACTGCTTTTCATTAGAATATTTTACCATACATATATTTTATTGTACATTTTGGTACTTAGGCATACTAGATGACCATTTGTCTTTATTTTAAAAGCTGATTATGGGGGGCTGGAAAGACATCTCAGCAATTAAGAACACATGCTGTTCTTAAGAACCCAGGTACAGTTCCAGCACCCAGATGGTAGCTCACAGCCATCTCTCTATGACTCCAGTTCACAGCCATCTCTCTATGACTCCAGTTCACAGCCATCTCTATATGACTCCAGTTCACAGCCATCTCTCTAACTCCAGTTCACAGCCATCTCTATGACTCCAGTTCACAGCCATCTCTCTATGACTCCAGTTCACAGCCATCTCTATGACTCCAGTTCACAAGCTCTTGGGCCTCCACCAGCACTGCACTTACATGGTCCACAGACATACATGCAGGCAAACACTTACATACATAAAATAGAATTAAATTGCTCTTTTTTAACCTCTTTTTAAAAGCCAGTCAACACTGAAAATAGAAATTTTTTTAGCTTTATTCTGGATGTATCTACCATCTCAGTTTTCAGAACATCTTCAGAGTGTACATGCTGGAAAGCGAAAGGTGGACATGGACAGCAGGCCCTGCCGAGTAGGCGCTGACCAGAGTTTTTTAGATTCTGATAGAGAATCCATCCCTTACATTAGCATGGAAGGTCTGACTTGACCCAGTAAAGAAGGAACTCTCTGACTCAGCATGGAAACAAGCAGACTCCAGGTTGTGCTTAATGGACATATTTCAGCCTCTTCCCTTCAGCCTCAGAGTGAACCTGAAAAGACAGAGTAAGGCTGAACTTTTTCCCTTAATCATATAAATCCATGACTTTTTTCAAAGCTAGCTAGCCCTTACATAAAGAGGCCCCAATTGTCAATTCAGAAGCTCTTGGGAAAGGCTTATTCATCCAGCCTTGAAGCCTCAGTGCCCAAAGACCGGGTCTGACTGTTAGATTAGCTTTTCCAGCTGGCTGAATATTAATGTCTTGTGAATTATTTGAAGGAGTCACACCTTCTAGTTGCCTAGCACTGTGACACGTTCCCAAGTGGGTGCACTTTCTTTCTTTCCTTCTTTCTTTTTTGAGATGCAGCTGGCAAAAGCAGAGTCTAAGCAAGAGTCTTATGCCCAGTGAGCCATGGACTGGGGTCATCCCAGTGCCTGCGATGCCTGGGGCCAAGTGTGGGCTTTGAGCCAGAACTGAGTTAAGTCAAGAAACTCTGCGGCTCTAGACCCAGATTCTGCTCTCCCAGTGAGTTGGTAAATACTTTTTAAATGAATAGAGAATTCCAAACACATGAAATGGAAAATAAGAATATTCCTGCATACAGTCATCCCCTAGCCTTAGTAATTATCAGCTTGTGGGTAATCTTGTTTCATCAATATCACCCACTTCTCCAGTTCATTCCCAACTCCAATTACTATTAACCAAACCTCATAATCATTTTATTATTATTTCAGATGGTACTAAGTAGATCACATGTTTAAAACATGGGAGGCCCTGGGTTCAGTTCCTAGCTCCTCAGAATAATAAATCAGTTGGTTGAATCACTTCTTGGCCTTTTGGCTTTGAGCCCGTAAGAGTGGACTCTGTTCTCACCTTAGTGTCTGATGAAGCCCCTACTGCAGGACAACAGATCAGTGGATTTTGGAGCAAGGAGAGGAGATAGGATCTTGCTTTTTCTACACAGTGCATCAGCTATGTATCACAACACCTCCTGGAGTGGAGCACAGAAGAAAATCGTTATATTAATGTTTCAGTTGGTAACGCTAAATGGAACACCTGTGTCTTTTTTTAAAAAAGGCTCAGTACTCTTACATACCTGAACAAGATTAGCAGTATTCTTAAGTATCAGTATTAAGTGTTCACATTTCCCCAATTGTGTCTGCTATTGAATTATATAGTTTGAAATACAGATGCCAAATAAAATCCATTCTTTGGTGTTTAAATCCTTTCATCCATGAGTTCTTTCTCCATCTAGACCCATGTAATGTTTGCCCCCCCCCCACCGGTGAGCAAATGGGGCCTTCTTTCCATGTAAAATGACCTTTTGAGGTAGCATCTTCACATTCTAGCACTTCTGAATTGCCTCTAAAGATTTGGCTGTGCCTGTTTCAGGGTCTTTCTGCTTTAGATCCTTTCCAGCTGTTCTGGTTTGTGTACTTTACCAGTCTGGACACTGTCTGACCTCCAGCTGAAGTGTCAAGGTACTATATGAGAACCCTAGAATGAATTCTTCACAGGACAAGAAGCATCCTTCAAATGGATTAGTGACTACAGCACTGTGTGCAAGTCATATAGTCATTATAAAAGGTCATTTTCAAATCGCATGGGATGGAACATATCTGTGATTCTAGCATTCCTGGAGGCTGAGGCCGGAGGGTGACAAGTTCCAAGCCAGCCTCAGCTAAAAACAGTGAAATACAGTCTCAAAAAAAAGAGCAGTCGGTTTCAGAACTGGTAAGACAACTCAGTAGACAAGGGCAGGTGCTGCCATGCCCAAGGACCTGAGTTTTATCCTGGGATCTACATAGAAGGAAGGAACTGACTCCCTCAAATTGTTCTCTGGCCTCCACAAACTTGCTATAGAATGTACATACATGTACACACACACACTAAATAAATGTTATTTTAAAATTTTTTCAAAAAAATTATTTTCAAAAGCCAGATGTCCACTTTTCATACAAATTTCCTGCCCTTAAGCTGGGCAGTGGTGGCCCACACCTTTAATCCCAGCACTTGGGCAGCAGAGGCAATTGGATCTCTATGAGTTCAAGGTTAGCCCAATCTACAGAGTGAGTTTCAGGACAGCCAGGCCTACACAGAGAAACCCTGTCTCGAAAAACAAAAAAACAAACAAAATAAAATTTCCTATCCTTGTAAACCATTTGAGTTGTAAAAGGTAACGAGGAAGTATTTTATCCATTCTCCTACTTTAGAGCCTAGTCTGTTGAAGAAGCTATGTACGGAGGATATAATGGGAGGTGGAGTTAGGGCGTTACCCTTCTTAGTTTGAGCCATTGAGTGCTAACTCAAACTCAACTCTTGTCCCTCTTATCCAAATAGAGCTTGGCTAGAATTGAAGAAATTGATAGAATAAGAGAAACAGAGGAAGGAACAGAAGTTCAGTAACTTTAGGGGCCAAATGCTCTGCCACAGCTCAGAAAGTCTACCAGTGGACTGTAGCGTGCTTTGGAGACTCGCCGTGGGATGCAAGGTGCATAGGCACATAGGGGGACCGACCACTCAGACCAGTAGACTCAGGAGCTCAGGGCGTGAGGTCAGACACCAGTAGTTCACATAGTCCCTGGTGATCCCAGTGCGCAGCCGCGTTTGAGAACCACTCGGTAAACTATGACTATGAGGAAAGAACAAAGAAACCCTTCCAGTGCGCAGGACTTCAGCAGTGGTCACGGGTGATGGCACAGACCCGGCTCTTGGGAGGCTAAGGCAGTCCAGGTCATCCTACAGAGTTGAGTGTTCAAGGTCATCCTGGGCTGCCTGAGATCTTATCTCAAAAAGAAAAAGAGACTGAGCATTGGTTACTTGCTGGTGTCTGCCTTGTCCTGTGACGTGTATGGTTAGAAAGGGACTTTTGAGAGATGTAGCCAGTCAAAATCTTTTTTCTTGCCATTTTAGAATGCTGCTTCTAAATTACTTGGGTAAAATTGGGTCCAAAACTCCTTTGATGGCAGCTGCAACATTTTCAGTTGGCTGGAATACTTTCGCGTGCTCAGAGTCATTGGAGAAACCACTAAACTGGCTGCTTTTTAATTACTACCTGACAACTTGCCTCCAGTCTTCAGTTAAGAAGTAAGTCATGTTTAAAGCCTTTTGTTACCAGTTTAGATTACATGACTCAGCAGTATGAAATTTTAGAGTATAACACTACCAGTATATGTGTATTTGTTTATACAATAAATTTATTACTTTACTAAGATACTCTCTACATTATGAATGCATACCAAAAATTATAAGGTAAAAATATAGACAAAAGTCATAATGCATCTGGGTGGTGGTGGTGTGAACCTTTAATCCCAGCACTTGGGAAACAGAGACAGTTGGACCTCTGTGAGTTTGAGGCCAGCCTGTTCTACAAAATGAGTTCCAGGACAGCGAGGGCTGTTCCACAGAGAAACCCTGTCTTGAAAACAAACAAACAAAAAAAGACAGAATGCATTCCTTCTGTTTGTACCCCTACCCTGCGTTGAAGGTTGCTATTCTCAATTATTCTGAAAACTGCAACATTAGTGCAGAGTGTGTTTGGTGATACGTTTGGGCTGTTTCCTTAGGCTTTTTGGTTGTTAGCCTTTTCCAAACCTAATTCTTTCTCAGGTAATGTGTTAAGAATGTCCTGTGTAGCTAGGTGTGGTGGCTTACCCCTTTGATCCCAGCACTCAGGAGGCAGAGGCAGGCATATCTCTGAGTTCAAGGCCAACCTGGTCTAAATAGTGAGCTCCAGGACAGTTTGAGCTGTATAGAGAGACCCTGTCTCACAAAAAAAAGGAGTGTCCCGTGTTTGTAACTGGAAGTTTTCCTGTGGTCCCCTGGCCTGTGGTCAGGACAGATCCCTCTCACCCACTGTCCCACACCTGCTGGGACCCAAATAAACACACACAGGCTTATGTTATTTTTAAACTACGACTATGGCAGGCCTCTTGCTAGCTAGTTCTTATATCTTAAGTTAACCCGTTTCTATAAAGCTATACTTTGCCACGTGGCTCGTGGTTTACCGGTACTTTTACATCTTGTTTCTCATGGTGGCAGCTGACAGTGTCTCCTCTGCTCTTGCGCCTTCCTCCTCTCTGTTTAGATTTTCCGCCTGCCCTAAGCTGCCTTGCCATAAGCCAAACAGCTTTATTTATCAACCAATGAGAGCAACATATTTTCACAGCATCTCCATCACATGTTGAATAATATAGCTCCTTAAGCATATTCTTACAAGTGTGGTGTGTTTTAGCAATGGGAGAATGTGAAATGGCAAGATGTCTTGGTGGGTAAAGGTGCCTGCCACCAAGCCTGACAACCAGGGTTTAATCCCTGTGACTCATGGTGAAGGAGAGAAGAGATTCCCTCTTGATCTACACACACACACACACACACTGTGGCATACACACATGAACACAAATTAAATGATTTTTTTTTTCAATTTTAAGAAAATATATTCAAAACAAGAAAGAAATAGAATACAGTTCTTTTTCTGTCTTATATATTCTTAGCTCATGATTCTCATATTTTCAAAATAATGTCTTTGCATCTGTTTTTCTGGAATTGTTCATCTTCTAACAGTGAAGACCTGCATGGTAGCACAGAGCAGCAAGATGTTTCTGTTTCATTCCTTTAATGGCCGTTACTGTTTGTTTGTTTGTTCAGTGCTGGGGACTGAGTCCAGGATCTCAAACATGCTGGGCACATACTCAACCTCTACAGCCCCAACTATACCCCTACCACGCATTTTAAAACGAATTGACAAATATAAACATGATTTAATGATTTAATGCTAAAAATACCACACAATCATTGTGTCATTATTATAGCAGTGCTAACCATCACTGGCCTGGTCATTGAAATGGGAACAGTAGCAAGAAAAATGAAGAATCATTTGGATTAAAGTATTAGTTGAGGACCTAAGGATGTAGCTCAGCATTACAACATATGGGCGTCATGTTCCAGGTGCTAAATTCAATCTCTGTCACTGCCAAAAGATGGATATATATTGATCACCCTGGTGAGAAAATGGGAACCTGCACCAAAACTGTCCTCTAACCAAACACCATGGGGGGGGGGGGGAGAGAGAGAGAGATTAGGCAGACTTAAAATATTTTCATTACACTTTTATTGGCTTACTTCGTGTGGGCAGTATGCTGTGTAGGTCAGAGAACAGTCTGTGTAAAGAAATTGTCTTTCTACCATGTGGGCAGAACTGAGCTCAGGCCATCAGGGTTGACTGCATGTATCTTTACCCACTGAGTCATCTCACTGGTCCAGCGGATATTATTTTAGTTCCCTGTGCTGGACTTTTTAATTACCTGCTCTTATATATTTTAGATATGACTGAAGTAGAGGTGATCTTAATTTTTAGTTTGAAATTTCTTTTGTTTCAGGCACCAGCATATGTTTGTCAAACAAATTGACATGGACCAGGTCATGAAGGTAAGGGGTAGCTTTCCCTAATATTTTTATTTCCTCTTGTGACTCCAAGAGTAGATTCAGTTTGGATTTGCTTTTCAGGCTAAGTCTATTAGAGAGTTTGATAAACGATTCACCTCAGTCATGTTTGGATACCGAACAATTGATGATTATTACATGGATGCCAGTCCAAACCGCAGACTGAAGTCCGTGGGAATCCCAGTGCTGTGCCTGAATGCTGTGGATGATGTTTTCTCACCCAGCCATGGTAAGAACACCATCTGTCTACACACTTTGGTATGAATTAACTTTTTTTTTCAAAGACCTATCTTTTAGTTTTATTTCTGTGTATATGTGAGTATATGCCATGTGTGTGTCAGTGGCCCTAGAGGCCAGAAGAGGGCAACAGGTGCCCTGGAGCTGGAGTTACGGATTGTTGGGAGCCACCAGACACAGGTGCTGGGAACTGAACCTGGATCCTCTGGGAGAGCAACAACTGCCGAGTCATCTCCCTGGCTCCCGGTTAGCTTTTAAAATAGTGTTCTTTTCAAGGAACTATGATAATAAAAATATAACAGTTATACAGTGTCTTCTATTATGATTTTTTTAATTAAAATGCTTCCTGGCGTGGAGCTCCATGCCTATAATCCCAGCGTTTTAGACACTGAAGCAAGAAGAAGAAATGAGTTTAAGGCTGGCCTGAACTTGAACAAGCTGAAGAGCAGCCTGGGCCAGGAAGACTCAAAACATAAAAACCAGCAAACAAAAGTTAGCTTTATAACTTAGTATCAAAGTGTTTCAGACCACAGGGTCAGAGACTCGGGCCCAGTTAGAACTGATAGTGTGTTCTCGCGTGTATAACCTTTGGTTCCTCTCAAATGCCAGGCCTTTAAACAGATGGTGCTCCAGCATCTTTGCCTGGGGAGGGCACTGGCATTGTTTGCCCTTTTTCCTGGAGTTCCAAAATAAAAGGAGTAGGGGTTTTTCTTCCCCTTTAACGTGGAAGAGGACTTGAGACTTTAGAAACACAATGTCCTTGAGTATTTCTATGCTGGAAGCAAATTTGTGCCAAAAGTTTATTTCTAAAGGAAAACAGTCTAGTTTTTTTTTTTTTTCTATTGGATACAGTAAGGAAGAAAATTATTCCAAAATTAACTTTCATACTCTCTTAATTTAAGAATAGCATTTGGGCAGGAGAGATGGCTGGGTGGTTGGGAGCATGTATTGCTCTTGTCAAGGACCCTGGTTCAGTTCCCAGCACCTCTGTCAGGCAACTCAAAGTCACCTGTAACTCCAGTCTAGCACCACCTTCTGGCCTCCACAGGCAGTTCACTCAAGTGTACATATCCGTCCTACACATACATCATTTAAAGTAATAAAAGTAAATCTTAAAAAGAAGCCTCCTGATTTAAAAAATAAATAAAGCCGGGCGTGGTGGCGCACGCCTTTAATCCCAGCACTCGGGAGGCAGAGACAGGCGGATCTCTGTGAGTTCGAGGCCAGCCTGGGCTACCAAGTGAGCTCCAGGAAAGGCACAAAGCTACACAGAGAAACCCTGTCTCGAAAAAAACCAAAAAAAAAAAAAAATAAATAAAATAAAATAAAATAAAAAATAAATAAAAAAGAACAGCAGTAAGCATACATGTTTGTTTATTGAAAGTAATCTTACAAACTTCGTGTCAGAAGGCTTGACCTCTAACGGCTGTGTGAGGGCTGAAAGATGGTTATGATTTGCTGTTGTCAACACAGGATGTCACTGTGTAGCCCAGGCTTCCCTGGAACTCTTGATCCTCCTGCCTCCACCCCATGTTCTGGAATGTCAGGTGTGAGCCACCATGCCTGACTCAAAAATCTTCTTAAATCAGTTTTCAAACTTTAATGTGTTGGGTGTTTTGCTTGTGTGTCTGGACCTGGTACCCACAGAGGCCAGAAGAGGAAGTCATAGCTCCTGGAACTAGAGTTACAGATGGTTGTGAGCTGCCACATGGGAGCTGGGAATCAAACGTGGGTCCTCAAAAGATCAACCAGTGCTCTTATCTTAACCACTGAGTCATCTCTCCAGAACCTCAAGAAAAAAAATCTTTTAAACATTTTCTCCAAATACTTAATTAAAAACATTTATTTGGGGCTGGGCTGGAGCTCAATATAGGGTGCTTACCTGGCACATTTGGGGCCCTGAGCTCAGTCACCACTAAACAGTGTAATTACCCAGATCCCAACCCTAACACATGCATTGTAAAGTTTTAGAACATCCCAATATACACAAATATTTTAAATCACCCATCATTTCTCTGAGAGGTCGAATTTTCCAGAGGTGATTTTCAATAGCTGGCACTTTGGGCCTTTAGTTATAGATGAGAAAATGAAACTGGCTGTAGTTATCTATTACAAGGTTGCTTCCCATAATTCCACTGGATAAGGTCTGATGTTTCTCCACCCATTCTTATCCTTTGCTGCCTCAGCTACAAACAAGAGATTCCCAACATTTAACCTGACACACTAGGGTGAAGTTTGAACTCAATTATTTACTTTTTTTCCCCAGGCCCTTAAAATAGTCTTATCACATAGTGGACAATTGTCTGCAGCCTGAGGGAACAGGCGGCCGCCATCATTCGCATGACCGCAGTGTGGTAGAGCCTTTGTTCTGAAATGACTGTAGCCGTCAGGGTTAGACACTCAGAGTGCTGGGGTGGAGCCCAGTGGATGAGCTTCGGCTGAGCACTAACGAGGTTGTGCACAAGTGCACGTACACACACACACACACACACACACACACACACACACACACACACTTTATTTTCCACTGTCTGAACTCTAAAGCCTAGGAGAAAAAATAAAATAACTTTAATTCATGCCCTTGAATTTTCTGCTCAAAGTTAACTGGATAGAGGGCATGCAAACACGGCCGTTACTAGTGAATTACAGTGTTTTGTTTCAGCTCCATTTTCCAATTAAGTTTTTCTTTTCTGTTGAGTGTAAACAGAAAATCAGAAAGATAGAAAAAAATAATTACCCTGTCTTAAATGTCTCAGCAGCAGGAGGTAGACACTCATTACTGTTGGCCAGAATTTTATTTCTTTTTGTTTTTGATATCTTGGCTTTTACTGTATATATCACATTTGGGATTTCAAGTCCTTTGTACAGTTACCAATCATGTTTAAAAATCTAGATTCACATATAATCAAAATTACACAAAATGGATTTACAACTCTCACAAAGGTTAGCTTAGTTTTAATTTCTCAAAACAAGAATCAGCCTGTATTTGTATTTTGTTTTATCTGATATTCTGTATATGTTTGTGCGAGGATCCATGCACTAGTGTGGGTGCCACAGCACACGTGTGGGGGTCCCAGAGAGCCAACACAGCCTGTCAGGAGGACACACGCACCTCGGCAGCTGAGCCATCTCACAGCCGAGAAACAGCCCGTGTGTTTAGGTTATATAAAATCTTAGATTGGTTCTTTTAAAAATAATGATTTAGTACAAGACTGCAAATATGGATTATTATAAGAATATAGATGATTGGTATAAATTAGTCAAACTCATTCCATTTATTTGTTTAATGATGTTCTTACTGATTAGAAATGATAACATATACGTTTCCTAATGAAAAATGTTAATGACCTCTCTTCTCTCTCCCCCACCTCTTTACCACCAACCCCTCCCGCACCCCATCTTGCTGCTTCAATCCCTCAAGCTATCCCCATAGAAACTGCTAAGCAAAACCCTAATGTCGCTCTGGTCCTCACTTCTTATGGAGGCCACATTGGTTTTCTGGAGGGAATCTGGCCTAGGCAATGCACTTACATGGACCGAGTCTTCAAGCAGTTTGTGCAGGCCATGGTTGAGCATGGACATGAACTCTCCGACATGTAGTTCTTGGGTGCGTGAAGTCTGAGCCGCCATTGTTAAAGCACCTCAGCCTAGTGCACAAATGTCAACTACTGAGGATAAAGCTGATAAGCAGCAGAAGATGGTGAAGAGGTCCAGTGTTGTGCAAAACTACTTCCTAGGGAAACAAAACAACTTTGTAGCAAGAAACTAAAGATAGTTTAGATTGTAACTGTCATAGATCTTATTTTTACTCTGCCTTACCAAGTATGACCTTAAATTAAGTAGTCCTTACAAACATGAATTACACTTAACCAAAACTATTGTGTAAAAGATTTTAATTCCTCAGGGTTTTAATTTAGGCTAGTATTTTTAGGTTACTCGGTTCAGTGACTTACTAGTACTTTAATAACTGTTGAGAGATTTTCATGACTTGAATGTAAGTTATAAGAGGGGCATTCATGATAACACGACATTGAGGAAGGGTGAACAGCAATGCACTGAGTGTTGTTCTGACTTTAAAGGGCAAATGCAACAATGTTAGCCTGACTCCTATGCCTGCTCATTTATTCTGATAATATTGAATTAGGGCTGACTTATGTTTTATAATTATCATTTACATGCTTATTTTTAAAATAGTACATGTGCAAATGTATATCATTATATTAAAATAAATTCTATCATTTTAAATTGTTTCTCTGTGAGTTTTTATCTACAAAAGTAGAGCCCTGTTGGGTATGGTAGCACACAGCTTTAGTCTCAGCACTCAGGAGCCACAAGCCGGCGGATTACAGTGAGTGTGAGGCCAGCCTAGATTGTAGTGAGCTCCACTCAGCCAGGGCTATATAGTCTCAAAGAAAAGAGAAGCCCAGAGCATAATATCTGAAAAGTATGTTAATGATAATGTCATGAATATATTACCAGGAACACTTTTCACTTCACTGTTTGCAGAATTAGGCTAACGTCATACACCACTTAAGAACACTTTCCAGGCTGGGGCACAGATCGGTTGGTAGGTTGCTTGCCTAGCATGCAGAGAACCTTGGTTTAATCCCCAGAACTATAGAAAACTGAGCATGTGGCTGAGCATGTAGTCTGTAATCCCAGCATTATGGAGGTGGTTCAACAGCAGCTTGAACCACATGAGCCTCTGCCAAGAGTGGAGGGGGACACGTTGAGCTACAGGATATTTAATTGGGTTGAGAGGTATCACAAGCCACACACATACACACACACACACACACACACACACACACACACACACACACGATGATTTTTAAAATTAACTTTAAAAATAAAAATAATTTGAGCATCAGGGGGTTAGTTAGCTCAGCTGTAGAGTGTATGCCTATGTCCAAGGCCTCAAGTTCAATCTCCCAATACTGCAGAAAAAAAAAAACAAAACAGTAATTTGGTAGTTATTGGCAAATGACCTTTGATAGAAGTTGTACCATTTCTGTGGTCCTAACAGCAGTGCTGCCATTGTTACCAAAACTGTCTGTCTAGCCTGGCTGGCCTAGGACTTGCTATGTAAATCAGGATAGCCTCCAACTTACAGAGATCCACCAGCTCTCCTCTCCTAGGCTGAGATTAATGGTGTGCGCCATCAACACATGTCTCATTGTGTAGCCTGTGCTGACTCCAGGCTCTCAGGCCTCTAGCTTTGGTTTCCTGAGTAGCTGGGATACAAAGTTGTAACCATGTCTAACTCCAAAACTTTTTTCATTGTTTGACAATTTCATACATGAACATAATGTATTTTGATCAAATCTGCCCCTACTTCTTCCCTTCAATTCTTTCTGTACCCACTCTTGCCTTTTTTATGTGCATTGTTGTTTGGCCTGCATGTATGTCTATGTGCGGGTGTCCTATGCTCTACAACTGGAGTTACGGTTGTGAGCTGCCGTGTGGATGCTGGGAATTAAACCTGGGTCTTCTGAGAAAGCAGCCAATGCTCTTAACCACTGAGCCGCCTCTCCAGCCTAATGTGTTGTTTTTTTTGTTTTGGTTTGGTTTTTGGTTTTTGGGTTTTTTTTTTTTTTTTGTGATTAAAGCAAATCTGCTTAGTTTAAGGCCATCCACTGCAACATGAACAGCCTATCAGGGTCTGCATCCAAAGAGAATGAACTCTCCCTCCCCCAGTAGCCACTCACTGCCAATAGTGCCCCCTACTCCCAAGGCTCAGGGACCATCATGTGATGAGAAGGTTGTGAGAACCAGTGGCAAAATAGTGTGCGGCAGCTGCGCACAGCCAAGGCACTTGACCTGACTAGGAGCACGGGAGAACTGAAGAAAAGATGAACAGAACAGCTGGGGTAGGGTGGACCCCAATCTCTGATGGGAGAGCTGCAGGGTCCCAGAAGCTCAGCATGTTTATCATACAGCTGAGCAATGAAGTGGGGGTTGTTACAGATAAATAGAGACAGGGTTAGTGGTAGAGATCTGGATCGAGGAAATGGGTTTAGCTCCCCTAGACAGGAGCAGTAAACTGAGTGGTGAGGCCATGGTGAACATTGTCTGCCCACTGTCACCATTCACTCAGGCCCCCAAGGAAGGCTTTGCCAGTTCCTATGAAGCTAGGCTCCTGGACACGACAGTGCTTGTGTTAACAGCACACGTTGACTCAAACCCGCACACGCTCAGGGCCTCTGCTCCCCACATGACCAGGCCATGGCACACGTCAACTCCAGCGGCTGTGACAGTGCGCACAAGGAACTCCAGCGGCTGTGACTGTGTGCACAAGGAACTCCAGCGGCTGTGACTGTGCACAAGGAACTCCAGCGGCTGTGACTGTGCACAAGGAACTCCAGCGGCTGTGACTGCGCACAAGGAACTCCAGCGGCTGTGACTGTGTGCACAAGGAACTCCAGCGGCTGTGACTGTGTGCACAAGGAACTCCAGCATCTGTGACTGTGCACAAGGCCTGCAGAAGGTCAAGCCTGTCAAAACTGTAGACCAGGGAGGGGCTCACAAAGTCCCACTCCTAGCTGACAGAACTTTAATTTTTATTTTATTTTACTTAATTTTGGGGAGAAAGAGAGAGAGAGAGAGAGAGAGAGAGAGAGAGAGAGAGAGAGAGAGAGAGAGAGAGAGAGAGAGTGTATGCTCGCGCGCGCGCCTGAGTGCCATGGTGAGTGTGTTATGGTCAGAGGACAACTGAGTAGGTTCTCCTTCCATGTGGGCCACAGGAGACTTGTCTTAAAAAATAAAGGTTCAGCCAGGCGGTGGTGGCGCACACCTTTAATCCCAGCACTCTCGAGGCAGAGCCAGGTGGATCTCTGTGAGTTTGAGGCCAGCCTGGGCTACCAAGTGAGTCCCAGGAAAGGCGCAAAGCTATACAGAGAAAGCCTGTCTCAAAAAACCAAAAAATAAATAAATAAATAAATAAATAAATAAATAAATAAATAAATAAATAAATAAATAATAAAGGTTCAAACTTTTTATTTTGAGATTTGTTTGGAGTGTTTGGCATTTTTGATGGTATAAAGGGATGTTAGGGTAAAAAGAAAAGGGGTGCAAAGCAGTGTGCAATGGGACAAAATTAACACACAAGGAAATACCACAAACGATACAGAAAAATTAGGGACACTGTTGTATTTTTAAAAGTGGCGGGAAGGAGTCACACTGTACAACAGGGCCCATGATGGAGGTTTATTGAGGGGAGGGGAGAGAAGGGGGATGAGAGTGAAGGAAGAGGAAGAGAGGGAGGGAGAGAGGGAAGCAAAGCCTTCCTTTAATAAGGGAGTTAGGGAACGCACACGGGGTGCTGTTAGGGCTGCAGCCGAGGTACATCCTGTCAGGACCCTGAAGGCAGCCAGGACAGACGCCTGAATGCTAACACACCTCCCTTTTGTGTATTATAAAAAGGTGAGGAGTTAGAAAGGGGTAACAGGTGATGGGCGGGGGCCAGGAGATGAGGGTGCCCTGTTCTCAAGACTGCTTCCTGCTGGCCCGGGGCAGGCATCGATCATCTTTGGGGGACCTAAGAAAACTTGGGTGTTGCCCATGTCCTGGGGCAGCTGGCTGTTTCCCTCACTGTCCAGGCTCTGTGGAACTGTCAGGCGCCTCTTGGACCTGGCAAGATGTTGTTCGAGGTGAATCCAAGTCCACTCCCTGGAGCTCACAAGAACTTTGAGTTTACAAAAAGAGGTAAGTTTTAGACACATTAGAAAGCAACCAAAGGGAATTTTAAATCCTGAGCTTGTGGCTATAATACTATAGTGGTGGGGTATAGTGTTTAGTACTCCACCAAAGCTAGATTAATAGCTTATCAGAATTTCATCAATATCAAGGTTGTGAACAGTAACATAGAGCGAGAGAGAAAATGGAACATGTTTCATTCTTTTATACACCTCAAATCACTTTCTCCTTATCAGCACTTAAGCTTTCCTATCTTCACATAAAGGGGCCTTAAAGCACATGTTCCTTTCCCATCAGTACAGCATCACCTTGACACCCTCCTTCTATTCCATTTACCAGGAGACACAGGTGATTGATTCCTGAGGGCAGTCAAAATATTTGAGGCTTGCTGCTTTCTTGGTTTAAAAAGAGATACAATGAACAGAGAGCTCATTAGGACTAAGAAGTGTACTCTTTAACCTCAGCAAAAGATGTCTGACAACCATAGAGCTACTTATATCATGATGGGGTCACCAGCCAAGATGGAGAAAAGCCACACAGCTGCTGTTTAAAACACGTTTTTTCTAAACAATAGTTACAAGCACATGTACATAGAGTTGGATCCAAGTTTCATACACATACACACAGAATTAAACCCAGCTTAAATTTACACATATAAGGTTAAATTCCAATCACATACACACACACACACACACACACACACCAGAAGTTAAATTAAAAGAGGGAAAACTGATGTGTGCTGAGCCAGATGAAGCTGGCTTCTCTATCTCAGATTCACCTCACACGTTGCAGCAAACAGGACATTTAGAGAGAGAGCAGACAGACACAAGCAGGTCTTGGAGCAAAGAAAAAGAAAGTGGAGAATTCTTTCTTGGTTCCCTGACTGCCTGGTCCAGAAATACTGAGGCCAGTCTCACATCCAGGGACCCAATTGTTGGTATTGAATGGAAGGCAAGGCTGTTGATGAATGAGAAAGCAGGATTGTTACAGTGGAAGAGAGTGAATCAGAAAGCAGGATTGTTACAGTGGAAGAGAGTGAATGAGAAAGCAGGATTGTTAGAGTGGAAGACAGTGAATGAGAAAGCAGCATTGTTACAGTGGAAGAGAGTGAATCAGAAAGCAGTTTGTTACAGTGGAAGAGAGTGAATGAGAAAGCAG